TTCATTGATTCCAGGGCTAAGGAAGAATTTGGACTCTTAATCCCCACCCTGGATTAGCCTGGAGGACTGCAAACAAACTCAAAGCCATTCTCTCCTCAGGCTCTGCAGGATCAAAACTACCCTTCTTTCCCACCCCTCGCCCACCCCTAAACAGCCTCTGCACTTCTGTCTACACTCACGGTCTTGCACTTCTCAGTGACACTTTTGCAGCAGAAGATGATTTGGCTCTTAGCCCCTCAGTAAAGCCATGGGAGCCTCCTTCCTCTGTGGTTTATCAGGCTAACTAAAACTCTTGTCCGAATGTCTGCTCTTGTTAAACATCAAATGACATTACAGGAGCAAGTGAAGGACTGTGTGGGTTCCATCCACATGCTAATTAAAGTTAGGTTCTGCCCTAAGAACCAGAATGCAGGGTCCGCATCTCCTCTTCCTCTTAGCCAAACAGAAGGAAAAATGGTTTATAATCTAAATCAAAAAGTGAGTTAAAAGACAAATGGGGAGGAATTCCACAGAAATTCCTCAGAGGTCAAGGCCTTCCCTGTATCTGAGAAATGGCCCTGGCAGTCTGCATTGACATCACTGTGTGCAATGCTTAACTCTCATTGCTGGCTAGAGACAGATTGCTAGGCAGGCAAGGTCATTTCCCAGTGCCTTCCATCTCTCTCACTTGCCATACTTCCCTCATTTTAGGGTGAAAAACTGTCCTGCTGACAGCTAGGCTGTTGGGGAAGAACTGATAATTGAAATGGAAACTACAACTTTTGAAAATGGACTGCTCTCCAAAAAAACCAAACCCACTGCCATCAAGTCGATTCTGACTCACAGCAACCCCGTAGGGTTTCCAAGGCTGTAAACCTCTACGGAAGCAGATTGCCACATCTTTCTCCCATGGAGCTGCTGGTGGTTCCTAGAACAGTCCATTTTGAAAAGTTGTGGACTTCTCAAAATGGTCTGCTCTAGGACTCACAAAACCCATATACTATACACTCAGAACCATGATCACAAACTGTCTAATTGTAAACTCTTCTAACACTAGCTCATTCACAGATAGCCAAGGATAAGACTGCTTATCTTTTTATTTATCCTTCTATTTATGTTAAGGTGTAATCCATTCTGAAGGCTGTAGTGTTTGATCTTCATCAGTAAGTGCTTCAAGTCCTCTTCACTTTCAGCAAGCAAGGTTGTGTCATCTGTATATCACAGGTTAGTAATGAGTCTTCCTCCAATCCTGATGCTGCGTCCTTCTTCATATAGTCCAGTTTCTTGAATTATTTGCCCAGCATACAGACTGAATAAGTATGGTGAATGGATACAACCCTGATGCACACTTTTCCTGATTTTAAACCACAAAGTAGCCCCTTGTTTTGTTCATGGTCTATTTACAGGTTCCTCATGAGCACAATTAAGTGTTCTTGAATTCTCATTCTTTGCAATGTTATCCATAATTTATTATGATTCACACAGTCAAATGCCTTTGCATAGTCAATGAAACACAGGTAAACATCTTTCTGGTATTCTCTGCCTTCAGCCGGGATCCATCTGACATCAGCAGTGATATCCTTCATTCCATGTCCTCTTCTTGAATCCACCTTGAATTTCTGGCAGTTCCGTGTCTATGTATTGCTGCAATGGCTTTTGAATGATCTTCAGCAAAATTTTACTGTGTGTGATATTAATAATATTGTTTGATAATTTCTGCATTGTATTAAATCACCTTTCTTTGGAATAGGCATAAATATGGATCTCTTCCAGTCAGTTGGCCAGGTAGCTGTCTTCCAAATTTCTTGGCATAGACGAGTGAGCACCTCCAGTGCTGCATCCATTTGTTGAAACATCTCAGTTGATATTTCGTCAATTCCTGGAGCCTTGTTTTTTGCCAGTGCCTTCAAGTGCAGCTTTTACTTCTTCCTTCAGTACCATCAGTTCGTGATCATATACTACCTCCTGAAATGGTTGAACATCGACCAATTCTTTTGGGTACAGAGACTCTGCGTATTCCTTCCATCTTTTCTTGACACTTCTTACGTCGTTTAATATTTTCCCCATAGAATCTTTCAGTATTGCAACTTGAGGCTTGAATTTTCTCTTCAGTTCTTTCAGCTTGAGAAAGGCCAAGCATGTTCTTCCGTTTTGGTTTTCTAACTCCAGGTCCTTGCACATTTCATTATAATACTTTACTTTGTCTACTCAAGCTGCCCTTTGAAATCTTCTGTTCAGCTCTTATACATCATCATTTCCTTCCACTTTAGCTACTCTACATTCAAGAACAAGTTTCAGAGTCTCTTCTAACATTCATTTTGGTCTTTTCTTTTTTGTCTTTTTAGTGACCTCTTGCTTTCTTCATGTATGATGTCCTTGCACAACTCATCTTGTCTTTGGTCATTAGTGTTCAATGACTCAAATCTGTTCTTGAGATGGTCTCTAAATTCAGTGGAATATATTCAAGGTCATACTTTGACTCTCGTTGACTTGCTTTAATTTTCTTCAGCTTCAAATTGAACTTGCATATGAGCAGTTGATGGTTTGTTCCACAGTCAGCCCCTGCCCTTGTTCTGACTGATGATATTTTCCATTGTCTCTTTTCACAGATGTACTCGATTTGATTCCTGTATATTCCATCTGCCAAATTCCAGGTGTATAGTCGCCTTTTATGTTGTTGAAGAAAGGTATTTGCAATGAAAAAGTCATTGGTCTTGCAAAATTCTATCATGTGATCTCTGGCATTGTTTCTATCACTAAGGCCATATTTTCCAACTACCAATCCTTCTTTGTTTCCAGCTTTCGCATTACAATCACCAATAATTATCAATGCATCTTGATTGCATGTTTGATCAATTTTAGACTGCCGAAGTTGGTAAAAATCTTCAATATCTTCATATTTGGTGTTAGTGGTTGGTGCATAAATTTGAATAATAGTCCTATTAACTGGTCTTCCTTGTAGGTGTGTGGATATCATCCTATCACTGACAGTGTTGTACTTCAGGATAGATCATGAAATGTTCTTTTTGATGATGAATGCAGCGCCATTCCTCTTCACTTTGTCATTCCCAGCATAATAGACAATATGATTGTCTGATTCAGAATAGCCAATACCAATCCATTTCAGCTCACTAATGCCTAGGATATTGATGTTTATGCGTTCCATTTCATTTTTGACAATTTCCAATTTTCCTAGATTTGTACTTTGTACATTCCATGTTCCAATTATTAATAGATGTTTGCAGCTATTTCTTCTCATTTTGAGTTATGTCACACCAGTAAATGAAGGTCCCGAAAGCTTGACTCCACCTACATCATTAAGGTTGACCCTACTTTGAGGAGGCAGCTTTCCCAGTCGTATTTTGAGTGCACAGTGGTTAATAATTACAGCTGATAACCAAAAGGTTGACAGTTCGAATCCACCAGCTGCCTCTTGGAAAGCCCTATGGAGCAGTTCTACTCTGTCCTATAGGGCCACTGTGAGTCAGAATCGACTTGATGGCAATGGTTTCTGTTAGTTTTTTTTTTTCCCCCCAACCTGAGGGGCTCATCTTCCAGCACAGACAATGTTTCCCTGTTATTCATAAGGTTTTCACTGGCCATTTTTTTCAGAAATAGATTGCCAGGTCCTTCTTCCTACTCTATCTTAGACTAGATGCTCCACTAAAACCTGTCCACCAAGGGTGACCCTGCTGGTATCTGTAATACTGGTATTGCTACCAGCATCACAGCAGCACGCAAGCCACCACAGTACAACAAACAAACTGACAGGCGTGTGGGGGCCAAAGGCCTTATGTTACAATTAAAGTTCAATGAGGAAATTAAAAGAATTTTATGTCCTGGGTTTTTAGATACCACTGCACAGGTGACTGTGATCTCTGTAACACCTGGAACCAAAATGAGGAAAACTTTTGGGTCTGAGGTCACCATCATTGAGACCCTTGCCTAAGCCTGACTATGGATAAGTCCCTTTGGGGCCCCTACAAACCCCTAGTATATGTATTGATGTTGTTGATATATTAATGTACACCTTTGTAAACTTTTGCTTTTTGGCCCTGACGGGAATTGCTGCAGTTAGGACCATTTTTGAGGGGCCCACGGAAACTGTGAAGCGGTCTATATAGCTAATAGCCTAGCCATTCAGTCTGGCCACTGACAACCCTCAGACCGACATACAGTACAAGCCCCTATGGGGATGAGACATCTGAACAACAACAACAAAAAAATCAGTTCTGCTCCTGATAAACTTTTGTTACTTGTGTGGATGGTCACCAAAAAGACCCCTTATGCTGAGAGGGGAAAACAACCAATGAGCAGACTGCTCCTGCCAACTGACTGCAGAAGCTGAAGCATCCTCTGCTCCAGAGCAAAGAGATGTGCAACCAACCACCTCCTGGATTTAAGAGAGGATGACCCGTGGAGATTTACATACCATCCTGGACTGGGCCTACATGCATGGACTGCAATTGTTATCAGAAAACTCTGCACAGCGTAGAAAAGCTGACCTGCCTTTGAGACCCTGGTCAAGGCTAAAACCTGCTCAGATTCCCAAGCCAACTGGCCAGGGCATTCTTGGCAGGTAAATCATATCGGGGTCTCTTATCATATAGAGAGGCTTCCACTGAATCTTGAATGAACTCTTCACACTCCATATCACCCTTAAGCCACAGGGGTGATTGAGCGCTGCAGTGGACAGGCTTAAACAACTAATGGGAGGAGACAAGACAACCCCAGCCTGAACTACATATCTTATGCAAGCAGTCTGGGGTCTCAATGCAGCAGTTCCCTGCAAGGGCATTTCTCATTTGTGCCATATGTTTGAGCAAACTGTCTGTTCTGTAAAATGTTTCTTTTGTGTACAACAGTTCCTGACAAAATATCTGGGTTCCCACAGAGATCATTGCCTCAAGACTAGGACAGACAGCTTTGGTGGCTATACCTGGGCAACCTCCCCTCAAGTCCCATGGGAGATAAGGGAGGGGAGTGGGGGAATTGTTAATGTTGTCTCTTTTTTTCCCCAGATTATCTCAATGATGGACAGGCCCCTCATCTATTGGCCCCAATGATACAGGCTTTTACTAAAGCTACCAATCAGGTCAACAGTTGGGTCTGTCAACATTTGAACAGAGATGATGAGTCATCTCCCCACATTGTTTCAGCTGATCTGTCAACAAGGAAGACACCTTGTGGACCAACTGAATGTGCAACCTGCTATACTGAGGAGATCATGTGATAAATGAATACAGTCAACCTGACTACTCATAGAAAATATCTTTTAAAATATGAAAGCTGCCGGTAGCTGTGCTCCAACTTTAGAAGGAAATTTCTGTGTGTTAAAAATGTAAACAGCATGGGACTAGATGGTTTGACTCTGAGAACGATACTTTTAAGGCTGAGTTTGACATTACTCTGGACATGGAGAACTTGCAGAATATGACCAAGTAGTCCAATATACATTGATTGACTATACCAAGTCTGAACTAGCCTGGTTTGGCGATGGTTAATACCTTGTTCAGTTGTGCTGGGAAGCGGAACTTTAGTGTTGATTGTACTGAAATGTGTACTGTTCATATAATGTGCCATGTTGGGAGAAATACGCTGTTTGTACATAAATGAATCAAGACATGCTATATATACATAAGATCAGACAAATGCAGCCCTTTGATCTATTTACTTGGCTTGGATTATGCCACAATTTGAGATCTCTCCAAGCAGGCCTGATCAATCTACTGAGGACAGTCCTACTAGTAACTCTCATTAAATGTTGCTTCAAATGATGCACAGATAAAACATCCACCAAAGTTATGCACCAAACCACAGCCATGCAGCTCAGCATCCAAAATGGGTGATGGACATACCAGGACTTGGTACTTCTTTGTTGCTTTTTCTGGCACCCCGATGGGAGGCGAGGGGTAGATTGTTGGGGGCAATGGTCTGCCTCTATGCCTCCCATGCAGGCTGCCTAGGTAAAGACCTTGGGCCCAGAAAATTCTCTGATAAGAAAGCTGGAATTGGGTCACCTTCTCTCTCCTAGTTCCTTCTCCTTATCAGAGAAGGCTTCCCCCTATTCTGTGCACACAGTAACTTTCTCTGTCTCTTGCACGTGTGGGCACCATACAGCACCTGGCCAACCCCACTTCTATATCTGTTCCCAGCAGGGAAGGAACAGGGTCTCTTGTACTACAACACAAGAGAGAAAGCATGCCAGATTGTAAGAGCTGGCCTGGGGGGGTGGACTGAAGCGGGGGAAAGCTTTGTGAGGCTGAACATGAGCACCCTCATGCAGTTTGCCAGTTCACTACAGTTTGCATTCTTATGTAAGCCCCTGGCACGGAACCACTATTGTCCACCACCACTATAAAAAGCTCTGCCCTGGGTTCTGGACAGAGCTGGAGAAGGATGTAGAGCATAATTCTAACTCACAAAAAAAAGACCAGATTTACTGGCCTAAAGGAGACTGGAGAAACC